ACCAAAAAACCAAACCTGTTGCCGTAGAGTCGATTCCGACTCATAACACCGCTATAAGCCAGAGTAGAACTTCCCCATAGGGTTTCCATGGAGCAGCTCGTGGATTTGAACTACCAACCTTTTGGTTAGCAGCCAAACTCTTAACCACTGTACCACCAGGGCTCCATGCACATAAATGTTAAGACTCATCATTAATTATATACACACTTATAGTCAAATTGACCACTAAAGGAAATTTTTGTGGCCCAAAAAGTTCTACCGTTATGAAATTAAAATGTATGTTAATGGGTATAATTTACGGAAGCAGAAGGAAAATATAAATCGTGATGGAATCATTAAAGGACTGGATTGAGAAACATCCTGTATCTTGGCATAAAATGACTGCAGCACAGAGGGCACTTTATTTCTTGACCTTAATGATGAGTCTTTTTGTAGGCCTTTGAGTTTTTGTTAACATAGAGACAGATTTTTTTTTTTACTTTTCCAGAATATTTTTTCTTTTTAACCTTTTTTTTTTTTTTTTGTACTTTAGATGAAGATTTACAAAGCAAGTTATTTTCTCATTAAACAATTAATACACATATTGTTTTGTGACATTGGTTGCCAACCCCGCAATGTGTCAACATTCTCCCCTTCTCCAGCTTGGGTTCCCATTTCCATTCATCCAGCTTTCCTCTCCCCTCCTGCCTTCTTGTCCTTGCCCCTGGGCTGGTGTTCCCATTTAGTCTCGTATACATGGTTGAGCTATGTGTACTATTGTTTGTTTTACTGGCCTGTCTACTCTTTAGCTGAAGGGTGAACCTCAGGAATAACTTCAGTACTGAGTTAAAAGGGTGTCTGGGGCAATGTTCTTGGAGTTTTTCTAGTCGCCATCAGATGAGTGAGTCTGGTCTTTTTTTGTGAGTTAGAATTTTGTTCTACATTCTTCTCCAGCTCTGTCCAGGACCCTCTGTTGTGATCCCTATCAAAGCAGTCAGTGGTGGTAGCTGGGCACCATCTAGCTGTGCTGGACTCAGTCTGATGGAGGCTGTGGTAGTTGTGTTCCATTAGTCCTTTGGACTGATCTTTCCCTTGTGTCTTTGGTTTTCTTCATTCTCCCTTGTTCCAGACGAGGTGGGACCAGTAGATGTATCTTAGATGGAAGCTCACAAGCTTTTAAGACCCCAGATACTGCTCACCAAGTAGGATGTAGAACATTTTCCTTGTAAACTATGCTGTGCCAATTGAGCTAGATGTCCCCGGAGACCATGGTCCCCAGCCCTCAGCCCAGTAACTCGATCCCTCAGGGAGTTTGGATGTGTCTGTGGAGCATCTATGAGTTTGTCTTGGTCAAGTTATGCTCGCTTCCCCAGTATTGTGTACTGTCTTACCCTTCACCAGAGTTACCACTTGTCTATTGTCTAGTTAGTGTTTTTCCCTCCCCACCCTTTCCCTCCCTCGTAGCCATCAAAGATTGTTTCTTTCTGTGTGTAAACCGTTTCATTAGTTTTTATAATAGTGGTCTCATACAGTGTTTGTCCTTTTGTGATTCACTTATTTCACTTATAGAACTTATTTATGTAATTATTTCACTTATAATGCCCTCCAGATTCATCCATGTTGTGAGATGTTTCACAGATTCATCATTGTTCTTTATTGTTGTGTAGTATTCCAT